AATAAGTCTTATTGCACATACAGCAAAGATAATAGCAAAGATACTTAAAAGAAGAATTGAAAGGAAAATAGAGGATGTACTTGGAGAAGATCAGTTTGGATTTAGAAGAGGAAAAGGAACCAGGGATGCAATTGGGATGATGAGAATTATAGCGGAACGAACTTTGGAGATAGATGAAGAACTGTGTGTTTGCTTCATAGACTGGCAGAAGGCATTTGACCGGGTAAACTGGACCAAATTAATGCAGATCCTGAAAGAAACAGGTATCGATTGGCATGAAAGAAGATTGATTAGCAAATTGTACATGGATCAGAAAGTTAGAGTACGACTGGACAGGGGGGAGACAGGAAGTGTGCAGATTGGAAGAGGAGTTCGACAAGGATGCTGTTTATCACCAATTCTGTTCAACTTGTACAGCGAATGCCTTACCAAGGAAGCTCTGGATGGACTCGGAGACTTCAAAGTAGGAGGGCAAATTATTCAAACTGTGAAATATGCAGATGACCTTGTGTTAATGGCTAAGGAAGAAACTGTGCTACAGGGCACGATTGATAGACTAATTGAAATTTGAAGGTGCTATGGCATGGAAATGAATGTGGAAAAAACAAAAGTAATGAAAATTTCGTGACAACCAACCCCAGTCACAACAAAGATAGACCAAAAACAACTGGAGAATGTGAAATGTTTTAAATATTTGGGTAGCTTGTTAACAGATGATAGAAGGTGTACGTGTGAAATTAAATCCAGGATTGCCATGGCAAAAGCTGCTATTAACCACAAGATCTCACATAAAATATCGATGCTTAAACAGACATTATTTTTCAAGCTGCTGCATCGTTACAGGTGTTTATAGTGCAGCTGCTTCAAATTACAATATGTTTGCTCTGCTGTCATGACACAAAATACCAAAGAACAATGACAGTGAGAATGATATATTTGTAGAGACAAATTCAGATAGCTGCAACTATTCTGCTTCTGCAAGTGAGGGAAATACAGATAAGCACCATCTCCTTGACAAACCAAATTTCCTTTACTGCTCTTCATGAATGCGTGTTAACAACAGTTGAAAATTTCTGTATTTCCATTGTTTCAGACCCACATTCAGGATCACTCCACAAAATTACTGAAACTGGGGCACCATGCACATCTCTTCCACCACAAAAGATAGCCAGGACATCGAGGGCTCATAATAATACACAGCGGACAGACATGGACTGTGTCCCCGATGCTGTTGCATATTCAGGTCTCCATGGAGAGGTACAAGGGATTGCTTTGGGTGATTCAAGTGAATCAGTAGATTTCTTTTTGCATTATACTGATTCTAAACTAACCGAAAAAATGCAAAGAAACAAGTTTACATGCCAGATAAAAGTGGGTACACTATGGGCATCCATGACCCAATTAGAAACAAAACACTTCCTTGCTATATTTTTACACATGTGCATCAAACAAAGGCCAAACACTGCTCATGACAGATTTCTCAATATTCTGTCAATATTTCATCTTACATGCAAGAGCCAAGAAAAGGAGGCACATGCAAATGGCTTTGATGCCCCATTCAAAGTCAGATATTTGCTTCGGAAGCTGACAGAGATATTCCAGGAGACCTGCTAACCTGAAGAAGCAATATCTACTGATGACGAGATGTACCCATTCAGGAGGAGGGTCAGCTTTGGAGTTTATATGCCTCAGAAGCCCAACAAGTATGACATGAAGTTATTCATTCTAGCAGGATCAAGGACTCATACATATAGAATTTTGAGGTGTACCATGGGAGGAATCCTGTACTGGATAACAGTGCTGCTGGGGTAGTAAAGTGCTTGTTAGGACAACTAACCAACAAGGGCAATACTGTTTCTTTGACAATTTCTAAACTAGTATTCCACTTGATGCCATATGCAAACACTGCCCTTGTAGGGACAATAATGAAATCCACAAAAGTACTGCCAAAAGCCCTACAGAAGCCAAAAATAGAAAAGGGTCAACAGGTGTTCCACCAGAAGAATGCTCTTGCCCTGTGGTGGAGGAACAAGAGGGACATGTGGATGCTGAGCAGCAGACACACTGCCCAGATGGAAAAGACCTCCAAACAGGCAAGTGAAGGGAGAGATGAAACTCCTTCTCACTGTTGCTGACTATAATAAACACAAAGCAGGGGTGGATCTCTCTAATCAGCATTTGTCCCATGGGGCTCTGGAGCACAAGGCCGTTGATTGGTGGACGAAATTATGCTTCCATTGCATCATCATGACAATTACAAATGCCTGTATCTTGCAAAACACCATGAAAACTAAGGTACTCAGCATGCCTGCATTCATTGAGGATGACTTGGCTGGAAATGAAAATTTAAGGTCTTCAAAAATAACTCACCAAATTTCGAAGCACCTTCCAGAAGGGCTTTCTCTCCCTGAAGGAAAGATGAAAGGCTAGAGAAGATGCACTGTATGCACTGATAAGGAAAAATAACTTACAGGCAAGGCTCACAGGAAAGACAAACTCTACCAGTATACCAAATGCAACTGTTGGACCCCTTCCTTCAAAATATTTCACACAGTGATGCATTGTGAAGAAACGATTCATGTGTTGAATATATATATATTCTTTTAAAGTTCGTTATTCTACCAAAAATTGTAATACTAGTGTGCATAATACTGTAAATATCTGATTTCCAATTAATGTTTATTTGTTAATACCTGTCAAATTTGTAATGGATCACTAATCTACTTTACAACACTTCTTTCATGTATTTATTTAGAATTAGTTTCTGGCCTGTGGAAACTGATAAAGAAATAGTAAAAATCAACCAGCACAGAGGGTTACATCACTGTGTTAAATGGCATGTGTGGATGTGGACTGGATCATATGGTCGAGAAATGGTCCCACTTTTGTGAACACAGCAATCAACATTTCTATTCTAGAACAGGCAGTGAAATTACTAGCTACCAGTGTAATTATTAGCTTCTTAAGAATGACCCAAAATAAGGTTATTTTAAAGGGTTTGGGGTGGTGAATATATTTTCAGTTCGGTGAGCAGACACCATATGTTTCAAGTCATGATGATGAAAAACAATAATCAACTCTTACACTTCATGAATGCGGATATGAATACATCACTTAAAACACATTTTATTCACCTGTTGTTCCCTTACCTACAACATACTCACAAATCAGGCTGCTTCAACATTTAAATGAAAATAAATCATTTTGAAATCCAACCAGTAGTGATATGTAAATAACGTGAATTACTTAATGCCCTAAATTGTGGCTTCGAAATTTTCGGTTGAAATACTCTATCCAGAAAGTCATTATGGGTATATACTTGCTTTACAACACAATCAGGCGTATTTCATTTCATCTTCATCAGGGGCTCCAGGTAGTTTTAAATGTTTGTGACAAGTTTCTACAATTTCAAAGGTAAGGAATACAGTGTGGGTGTCAACTGTTTACATCTATGAGCTCTGAATGTCATTTTCAGTATGAAGAACTGTGAATGAGACACTTTAAAAATTCAGCTCCATTCCTTACATTAAGTAGCCATACTGATTTAAACATTATTAAAATCTGTAAACATAACATGAATATTCAAGTTCAAAAACTGGGAATCAGTTAAAGTGGCTGACAAACTGTCAAAACTGAATACACTTCATACATATTCGTGAGGTCCACCAACACTGGATTTCATGAAATCCCTTCACTCTTCAGTTATGTATGCACATGGAAGAATCTCTGTGTTCACACCTTATAAAGCTACTGTAATGCCTTCCTTCTTGCACTTTTAAACATGACTTTAAAGCATAAATCACCCCACGATTATAGAACACAAAACAAAAAACTCCCCATATAACTTAAAGATAATACAACAAATCGCCCATGTAAAATATCAAACATTATCATACTGAACATAACTGTGAAGACTTGTCCAATAAAACAGCTTCATCTACTCCAGAATCCACAATTATTTGTCACGGAACCCTGGACATGTGACAATGTAATGCATCCCTCTTAGCAAAGTTTTACAGCTGGGAATATAAAGAAATCACAGAATAGGCAGGGTTTTCCATCCTAAGGAATTGTTTTTGCATGATAAACTGGCTCATCAATATTGCAGTGTGAGCAGGTACACTGTCCTTTGCAATATCCACTTGTCTGGCCAAAAGTCATGTATTTTCCACATCATTTATTCCTTCAAACACTGCAGAACTTCAAGGTACAATGCTGACTGACACTGTGTTCCAAGTAAACAAACCCTCGGTGGACAATTCCTTTCTTATCAGAGAACATGATGAACATGGTCATGAATTTTGATTTGTTCACCCTTGCTTCATTTGATTTGGGAGAACCTGTTGTTCTCCGCTGTTTTCTCAGCCCTCTGATCTCAGGATCGTTCTGAAATAACTATGTTTTGTCCTTTGTGATGGCATCGAGAAAGTATGGTTTAGCTTGAATTTTGTCCAAAAGGTTGACATAATCTTCTTCTTGCCTCAGTCACTAGTCATTAAGTACTTTTGCATCATCTTATCACAAACCTTCTTTACTTCAAGACTAATGGTTAAAATGTGGTAACATTCTGATAGCCAACCTTCAACTGATACAAACAGCTTGCCACACTTTTTGACATTTTCACCAGTCTGTTGTTGCTGTTGTATGCCAGCCTAACTGACAAATCATAAGAAGCATCTTCTCCTCCTTCAGAAAAAAATTTGCACCACTTGAAAACTCATTCCACTGATACTGAAGACTCCCCTTAAGCATCTTCTGACAATTTGCAACTTCAATTTCAACTTCACAAAAATCTGAGATTAATGTGATGTTCAAAAGGATCAGCTAAAACGTTTATATCAATGAAGCACAGAGCACATGACCACCAAACAACAGTTGAAGAGCACATTATAACATGCACTGAAAGGTTTGAGATGGAATGTAATAGCAACACACCACTGCAGCCATTTCTGGAACTTCTTAGCCACTTCTAGTATTGTTACATAACAAATATTACTTACTCAGAATAGTTGAAGAGGCGACTGTCCCACAGAGAGTGTTCACCTCTGGCACCATCATGGAAGAAGCAACTGTTTGTTCCATCAAACTGGTTTAGTCCATCAAGAACATTCTTGGAGGCATGAGAATGCACTACATCTAGCAGTACGTATAAACCATGGGCATGCGCAATGTCAATCAGCTCCTTCAGCTCTTCAGGAGTTCCATAGCGACTAAAAAACCAATGCTTCATTATATTAGTTTGGCCACATCATTTAAACTCTTCATGATGAGATATTCATAAGAAAGACACCTTCTTGTTTATATTATAAGGGTAGCTTTAAATTGCTTGAAAGAAGTAACACTTGCATCGAAAGTGTCAAGAGACGGATGGACAGGTTTCTTTTCACTGCTGTTGCCACACACAAAAGATATATGTAACTTCAATTTATAGTTTATTTAATGTGTGGCAGTAACTCAGACTACAATGAAACCCCTATTTAATGTTTCTTTGAGGAAGAGCAAATTTCAAAAATTAAACTGAGGAAAATTTATGAAGGTAATTTATCATTGAGACCATTGAATATGATCATTAAATGAAGGAAAACCTAAATCAAAGAATATTATATGGGGATTCCATAGCATATAGCATTAATATACAGGTATGTGTATAGAATGACCGATTTCAGACTGATTTATCCAGTTTTTAGCATGGACACTGTAAGCATCATTACATCTTTTCATGTGCGTGTATAAACATACTACCAATCCTAATCTCAACAGTCTGTATTCCTACTTCAGGGAACATGGCCATCTGTCAGCTTGAAACTTCCACTTAGTTCTCGTCACATAAAATTCAGTGTAGATATAACTATACATGCCATCTTACATTATCAGATGGAATGGTGTTTGCACTATTCAACTGCTTCATCACCCCCCCCCAAAAAAAAAAATAGCAATATTAAACTACTGCAGTATCCAGGAAGCTTGACACCATGCATTCTACATGCAGACCTTTTGAGACTGTATTTCAAAGTCCTCACAGACACCACCACATAAAGAATGCCATCCCCCCACTCTTCGTACAGTTGGCAGACACAGATAGAAGTAAGATTAATTTATTTTTGTTGTTTACTTTACAATGTCAGTACCTTCAGACTATGAAGCAACAAACAGTAACACGACTGGTGAATTAGAAAATAGAAAGAATTTGCAATCAGTCATGTCCTAACCAATGTACTCCTTGAGAATCTGTCTGGAGGGACCAACAAAAACCAGAAAAACCTCCTCCAGGACAGCTGGAGCCCTGGTCAAATACAAATGCAAGTTTAGAGCTTTAACACTATACCAACCCATTCAGCATACAGTGTTCAAGATACCCAGAATACATAACACATGTATTTCTTACATATACATGTATGTGATACATGGGTAACATCTCAGATAACAGATCTAGATTTACTGTGAACCTTACAGACAGCATGACTGGATCAGGAAAAAAAAGCCAGTTTTCTTCATATACATTGATATCACTGACAGAACGTTTATGCTTCACTACAAAAATGCACAAATTAAACACATATTATCTCTGACATGAAGATTTAACACCAAAATCAACCAGTGGACAGGACCCTCAGCCAGTTCAATCAAGTCAGCATCCAAATTCCCAAAAGTCTGATTCCAGCATTATCCTTTCATACATTTCCTTACCAAATTCAAGAAATATTTCAGTCTCTCCCTTTCAAACCACTTGTTGGCCACATTCTGTGCTCCCTGGTTTGACTACCCTAGCAACAGCTGCCTAGTATAAATTCTCATATTATGTAATATCTTCTATTACTACTTATTCAACCTGTATTGTGTCCAAATATTTCTCTTAGCACTTTCTTTTTGAATATTTGTAATTTATGTCCTTAACATGATTTAGAAAGCACATTTCACTACCAACCCTAACAACTGGCACAATATCTTAATCTTTAGTATTCTGGAAAGTAGACAGATGAGACAATAACTGTTTTTGGAATGCATAATTCATGTGTCTTCCATGTGTTCTTCTATTGATTTTATTGTAAACCACATATGTGTTGCTGATTCTCGTTCCCAAGTTCATAAATATGCAAATATTTTAAAATTATCGTATCACAAATTTCCTTGACAATGGCAGCAGCACAGAAATATCTGCCTTCACCAGAAAATGGATATGGAAATTTAAGAATCGCCTTGCCCATATTTATGAATAAAATAAACATAAACTCCACCTTACACAGCCAAATGTTAATTCATCACATTGATCAAAATATTTACATAAGTGAGCAAAACTCCTACCCAAATATACGATTAAAAATTTTTATGCACAAAATTTTGTTAGGGGAATGCTTGCTTACCTCGAAGCAGCATAGAAGCTGGTTACTTGATAACCAAAACTGGCATAATAAGCATGCTCCATTATTGCCATCAATTGAATAGCATTGTAGCCTGGAAACAAATCAGACATAATTAATTATCAAACGTTCACAACGAAATTAATTCAGAAAATCTGAGATCAATTATGACAACCATTCTTGCTAAAACAATTGCAATTCATGATGATGTATTTACAGCAAAGGCAAATCTAGCAAACGTCATACTCTGAAAATGATAAGACAGAATGGATATATCAAGTCTGCAGGAACAGATGGAATTTTACCGGCACTTCTGCAGCAAGGGATGGAACACTTAGTCCCACACCTGTGCCACATATTTAGAGCTTGCATGGCGTATGGGTTTAAGCCTACAGCCTTGAGGCAAGTCAAAGTAACATTTATTCCAAAGCCCAGGAAACTTGATTATACCAAGGCTAAGGCTTATCGTCCAGATTATTATGGCCCAACCCTTATACATTCACTGATTGATTGACTGATTCATTCATTCATTCATTCATTCACTGAACTATGACAACCATTCTTGCTAAAACAAGTGCAATTCATGATGATGTATTTACAGCAAAGGCATATCTAGCAATGTCATACTCTGAAAATGATAAGAGAGAATGGATATATCAATGACTATGAACAACAAAGGCACTTCAAGAGAATGTCACAAGGCATTTTATCTGTGCTGTGGACTTCTTCAGTAAGATGAAGAAACTATTTACTGTGCAATGTGACACATTATAAACTTATGGAGTAACACCCCCACCCAATGATATTCTCACATTTTCCTACAGCCAACAACTTAATATACAAGTACATATAATATTTATCAGATTCTTACAATAAGTGACTACTAACTACACAGAAATGAGCCCTTCTTGAGAAGGTGCCAGTTGTGCAGCTACTTAAGAATTTCCCAACTTTTTATGGAACCTGAAGGTTCACTACTACATTCACAACAGCCTTCCACTAGTTCCTATCCTGAGCTGGACTAATCGAGTCCATACCACACAATCGTATCTCTCTAAGACCCATTTTAACATTATCCACCCACCTATATGTTGGTCTCCCTTGTGGTCTCTTTCCTTCTGGCTTTCATACCAAACTCCTACATGCATTCCTCTTCTCCCCCATTCATGTTACATACCCTGACCATCTCATCCTCCTTGACTTTATCACTCTAATTACACATGTTGAAGAGTACCAAGGAACCCATTAAGTCTGATACCCTTTGTAAGATTTCATAACAAGCCTATTTTTTATGCTGAGGAGTTGTTAGCCGAACACCGAACCCCCAAACTGGAGGATCACCCCTTGTCGGCTGTCTGCAACTGCTTATTCAATATATTCGCAGCTACCCTCCATATACGGAAGCCATCTCCTCTATCTGCAACCTGAGGACACACCATGCCATGTTGACAAGGGACCTACTTAGTGACCACTTCAAAACAAAATCAATACTGGTGATGACGACGATGATGATGAGGAGGAGGAGGAGGAGGAGGAGAATTGAGGAAGGAGGATTATGAATGCACTAGTTTAGTTATGTCTTCAAAACGGAAGTAGTAACACTTTTTCTACAAAAGGAAAAATTTATGGATGAAATATTTGCTGACAGTAACACAGACTGTTAATTTAGGTATGGACTGAATGCTAAGAATGAGAGCTAAAGACCCAGCAGAACACAACGGTGCAGCATTTTCCCACCTTAATTAAAAGAAAACATTCTGAGACTGACTTCAGCTTCAGACACTTGGAAAACATTGAAAATTAACTCACCCATGCATAATTTCTTAGAACTCCCATATTTCCTAAGTTTCTATCATTCTGATTCCAAGAGTTGAACAATTCAAGCTGCTATACATAGAAACGTAAAAAAACAAGTTCAATTTCTGAAAAATGGTCAAGCTATTCAAAAGAAAATGGAATTTGCATGACAGTATATCAGACAAGAGTGAATGATTTTATAACAAAATGCATAGCCCAGAGGCTTGAATGGCCAATTTAAATCATATATTACATAACTGGTTACGCATTTCATTTCTTCATTATTAACATACTAATATTACGGCCACCCCCGTACAAGTTAAAATATGACTACCAGCCTCATTCCAGGAAGGTTTAAATCTCCATTCTCAAATAAAACTGTTACCCATGAGTTAAAATCTGGCACAAACCATATGAGGATAAAAATTAAGATCAAACAAATGGCAGTGAACATATTCTAATCTAAACAAAATTTTATCACTCTGGTTAGAGGTAGAACCCAGACAAGTGCAAGAACCTATGGCTGCTGGAGACAAAATTCTTTCCAAAAAAAGTTTCCAATTCAGTGGTCAGCAAACCAAGTAAGGTATTGTTGGATCTGAGGTTCTCACAGTGATAAACATGAAGATGACTATCTTCCAGGACGGAATGCTGTGTAGTGCAGTAGAAGTTCAACATCCTTTTGGAGGAATTTATATTACTTGCTTCATTTATACTTCAAGCCTGAAGTTGGAAAAAGTATCAAGAGATGTAGACCCACTTTCAAGTAAGAGCTAAGTAAACAGACAACAGTACAACAGCCATTGCTAGGGAACAGCTCTGTGGACACACTGTTTCCCCAGCAATGAGAGAACATGCAATAATGGAAGAAACATTTTCTGTGTGATCTGTGCTGGGGCCTACAGAACAAGGTTCTCTGCACTATTGGCAAATGGCAACACTGGTTCACGATTTACACATGGCTTTCAAAATTCCATACTTATATGATTATATAACAAAATTATGCAGGCAACAAGCGAAGTCATACAAAATCATATCGAAAATGTTCGTAATATTGGACAAGGCGAAGCACGACATAAAAAGTATAAGAGGCTTAAGTTTGGCAGCAGTCAAGCATATGACCATTCAAGTGACTAGACTGCCATTGAAGCAGAAGCTACTAGAAATAGGGCATAATCTGCTGTGCTGAGTCTGGACTGACAAGAGGCCCTGTATACATTTAATACATTTATCATCATGTTTAACATGTAAAATGTAAATATCCTTTACATTATAACAAATGACTTACTACTACACACAACTCTGACAAAACATAGACCCGTCCTCTTGTCAGAGAGGATGTCCCACAATAACAAGACCTAAATTGTCAAACAGTAATAAATATCTGGTCATGAGCCCCAGATTGGGCTTGACACCAAGACTGACTGACTGACTGACTGACTGACTGACTGACTGACTGTCGCAATGTGACTTTGACTTTGACTTGAGTTGGTTGAGTCAGTTGAGAGTCGAATTTGTGAGAAGTGAAAAGCTAGTAGCTGAGGCTGGGGACAGTTCGGAAACCCACAGGTACAGGAACATCCACCATTGGTAGCTACTACCAAGCAACAACCAGTGAAGACTAAGAAGACTTTATGTGTGCTTTGGTTACAGTGATCTTTGCAGTGTATAACTCAGTGAGACTGTCATAATTATTTGTAGTTATGAGTGTAAGTGTCCAACAAATCCAATTACCAATCCAAACCCCATCTATAGTCAATCAAATAACAGTATGTTCCTCCAAAAATTTTGTGAAATTCTACCAAACTACATAGCATCATATCCCTGAAGAAAGGTATTAATTCCTGACATGATCTTTATTAATATATTTATAAAGGCCGCGCCATAGCTCAAGCGGTTAGTCGTTGGCTTCCCACCCTGGTGGCAGGGGTTTGATCCCAGGTCTGGTCAAGTGGTATTTGTGGTGGACAATTGGCACTGGGGCAGGTTTTCTCCGAGTACTTCGGTTTCCCCTGCCAATCTTCATCCCACCAAATTCTCCATCATCATAATCACCCGGGGCAGGCTACAATAGGCAAATCAGTGGCCGCCGTGCTGAGTGCACCCAGTTGGACTCCACTCCCCACTAAGCAAATTTAAAAATATATATATTTAAAAACTAAATATTTGTGTTTTATTTAGAAAAGTATTTATGGAACATGTCTGCAAAATTGGAAAACACTGAGGTCTTACCTTGTTTTATTATCCTTGGGATGATTTCTTTTCCGAACTCCTTGTAAGTCCCAACTCTGGGTTCTTCTGTTGCAATTCCTACATGACATTCATAGATGCGGAGACTCAGTGGCTTCTTTGCTTTTTCATGCTTAAACTGATATTTCTGGAAAGCACAGCAATTACAATCACAACACTGGACAGATTCCAGCTTCACAAAATGCGTAAAATTATGATATACTGGGCCTCACCTCAGAAGAAGGGGGGTTCCAGAACCTCTGCTTGTAGGTAAAGCCCTCACTTCTAGGAGGCTGCACTACAAAGACTGCCCAAGGAGAGAGGCGATCCACCAGCTCCCCAGTCTTTGTACGTATCACTACCTGCACATATGAAAATGGAGAAATATGTTAATCAACTGACTATTTGCCATTAACTAATTATTTTCTACATTAATCAGTTTATGGTACCATATTCAGTTAGATCGTTCAACCCAGCTTGGACATATCTCCCATCTGGACTCCCATTATCACAGCAGAAGTCCAAAAGCTACAGCTCTGTCCAGTGCTGAGTGGGAAAATTTGTGTTTTCATATTGGTACAATATGAAGAATTTATATCTTCAGTGATGGCTTGTTTTCTGATGGTTCTCTGGTGCAAGCCTTCATACATGTGGAGTTGAGGTTTTGTCTTAGCTCTCACAGATGATCTGTGCTGTGCTCAGTTTGTACACCTTATCTAGTGCTGGTACAGGTGTCTGGAGAAGGGGACTAGCTATATCAACTGGACCCAACTGAGTAGGTTTTACCTGAAGACAGACACATAATCCAGTCTCCGAAATGTTGTGTATTTAAATAAAATCAGGACAATGGATTATGTCCAGAAATATAATAATATTTAAATCAATCTACCATCATCACAAATTTTTAGAATTTCTTCAGATTTTCACTGCTCCCTTATTATACAAATCCCTTCATTCTGCCCTGTATATACAGAGTGGATTTTAAAGAACTTGATGCATTCACGGCTCTGCACTTCACTGCAACTGGCGCGCTGCTAGCTGCGGAGCACCCACAAATTTTGCTGATGACTCAGCATGCTGATAACATTCAGAATGAAGGGAAGTTTTTGCCTTTGTACACAGATCACAGGTGGTGTTGAAAATGCTGTCCCTCTACACGTAGACATTCCTCACACTGGAAGAGGTTCTGATTTACCTTCTGAAGATTCTCTGCAGGAATATTTTAAATTTCCCTACAAATGTTTTCCTTCAGACCTTCTTCCATTTGAGGGTTACTGCTGTAAATTTTGTCCTCCACACAACCCCAGAAGAAACAATCATAACGATCACTTCTCCTTGGTAAGCATTCGACATTTATGTTTTGTTTCCTTGTCTACTGAGTGTCCTGTTATTTTAAGTTTTTTCACCAAATTATGAATTGTTTGATTTGAGGTGATATGAATTGTCTGTTTGCTGGGAACTCTTTCATCATGAAATTAACGTCGTAATTTTTGCCAACAATTTCCAACAGATCCATATCTCACATAGGTGTCATACAGAAATACACGTTGCTCTGAAGTATCACGAACCATGTTGTACCAAACTGCTGACTAACTGTTAACTGGGAACAAATGGCTCATGGCACTGATAACTACTGCCTACTGCTGAGAAGATCATAAACACCCAAGCATGAACTGCATTTCCCACCGTGTAACATAATACTGTGTAGATGTAGAAGTCTACTGGTTAATTAATTTCCTTCATTCCAAATGTTATTGGCCATTGAGCATGCTGAGTCACTGACAAAATTTGCATGTGCTTAGCAGCCAGCAATGCCCTGGTAGCGGTGAAGCATGTAGCCCTAGAACATGTCAAAAGCTTTAAAAATTTCCCTGTACCTATTATTTACATCATTTATGTCAATGTAAATGATTTTTGACAATTAACATTTAATCATTCACTCAACAAGACATAACTCTTCCCATCTTTATTCACCTCATTATACTCAGAGGTAAACGTATCATTCATCTCCTCATGGGATGTTCACATTCTGATTTTGCATCCATGAATGTGTGACCAACAGACTAGGCCATCCTGTATTGAGGATCAGTAAGTATCTTAAGTACACAGCACTAGTTGTCCTACTGTCCCATCATTCATGTTTGTCTACTATCCCTTTCATTTCTGCTTCATATTTTTAAGATGGTAAGTAAAGTAAAGCTATCCCTGTAAACGGCCGTGAAGGCCCATAGGGTTGTGAGACGTTGAGGGTCCCACATTATCTAGACAATCGGCTCAAGGATGGCGGTATTTCATGAAATTATAAATCCATCTCTCTGTGAAATCCAAAATCACGTAATTTCTTTGTAGATTTTTAACTCCCATAATCAATTATGGTAATTACCTTCTCATTTCCAAAGTAAATATCTACATATATGCAGTTCTGCAATTTAAAATCATACATATGTACATATGCATATTATTTTCTTCTTCTGCTTCAAGCATTGCAATATTCTGAATAATAATACTAAATTCAACTTTTTATTACTGAAGTACTTTTAGTTGGCATGACAGGGACCTGTGATTCTTGACTGTAAAGTTTGCCTGGTTCCCAACATTGTCTTTTTGCACTAGGAGTAGAGGTTTCTTTAGTGTTTCAGTTTTCAATTTCCCATTTAGATCTGTACCTTGAAGGAATGTACATATATGTACCTATTGAACTGAGCATTAGTATACCTATTCAGATCAAATAAAGCTCTATCAGCATGAAATCTAGGTTTTGGGTCAAGAACTCTGTGATGTAAAGTCTGCAAAAACCAAATGAAAAAGAAGTCTCTTGTAATCACCTTCTTCAACTGTTTGAACCTGCCAAATTTTATATGGCAGCAGATGTAACTTTTTAGTTTCTCTCCACACTGTTGTAGCTGAAACCTGTTCTTGCTGAGCTAATAGTGTGAGACATTTGCAAAACCTTCTTTTACACAATTTATGATTCATTTTTCACATATACATTGTCACATGTACTAGGGTACATCTGACCAAAAAAAAAAGGGTTCTAGTTCTGTTGACTGGATTTATTAGCACTTCAGTTACAATTTCTCTTAATTACAATTAATACAGTGCTATCACTGATTCACATGCGTTACAGTTCATCATTGCACGCGCACTAGGATTCTCAGTTTTCACTAGTCCTAGCAACGGATCTTAACACAGAAACTAGCACTTCAAATCATATGTAGTTTTCTTGCATTTCTCATTCAACCATCCTGGAATCTCAGAACTCAACTAAAAACTCTCTTTAGCTGCAAGCAGACTCGTGTTATATAGCCGCAGCATGGACAACACAGAAAACATAGTTCTACTGTTGCACAGACCACACAAAAAACAAGTCACATGACAGCTAAGTACTGTTGGAGTGTAACATCACTGCGCCTGTATGGAAGTGTCTTCACCAAACTGTTGCATAGAAACAGGATGCATAATCCTGTTGCTCCTTTGTTGGTGTGTGTATTACTTAGAAACGGCTGTTTCTGTGGCTCAACTGTTCTTGCATGGGGAAAATACGCCACATTATCATACTGAAAAACTCAGTTAAGCGCATTTTTCGCCTTCTTAATTCAGTACTGCAGATAAGAACACAACACAGATTTTTGAATACCTTACACCAGAACAGAAACACAAAGGAACTGATACATACTACAGTAAGTCATTTGCAGCTATAGTCAATGAGATACAAGATAAGACATTGTAAAAATAACTGGCAGCCTCTCTTCCCATTAATATATAACTTAAGAGCATGTTCAGCTACCAATTTTGTGTTCTTCTAACAGTCAGGGTGATCAAATTCAGTTCTTCAAGAAATACTTTGTATAACACCTGTCATTTTAATTACAAAACAAACTCCGTGACCTGTAGTCCACAAGCCAACTATACCGACCAAGCAACCCTCATTTTTCGGCAAAGTTAGTGGCAACTTTAGCAGATAGAGGGTGTCACATAGTCAGCACACTGGATCCCCACGGCCATTAATCTCGGTTTTCTGGACCAGAGCATCTATTTCCTTGAAACAGCACCTCAATTATCCTCATGAGGCTGAGTGAAGCACGTTCCAGACCCACTACTTCTCAGAGAATCTGGTAGCGGCGGGAATCGAACCCAGGACCTCTGGATCTGTAACCAGGAACTCTGAACACTAGACCACAGAGGCAGTCTCATTTTTAATTAACCCTATTATTATTTTTACTCAAACATTTAGTTCAACTCTGCAGACAAAAAAAAATCTACAGAATGTAGAAATGTAAATGATCAAATAGGAAGTCTGTCCAAAAACTATCTGACTATATTTTTTCCTGCGGTAAGTAATGGCAAAAGGGTGGGGAAACTGAGCACTGTGGTAGAAGGGACTTTCATGTGCATGTGTGATTTTTTGTTGCCTTGCACCATCGCCGGATGCGTCTGTGGCTGTCAAATAGCTAAGTGGTGTAACACGTGTTCGTCACATTCTCGTTTCACTTAAGATGACAGAACGCTTGGAGCAGCGATACTGCATCAAGTTTTGTCAAAACTTGGGGACGCCCATGCAGAATCACTCTGCAAAATTCAGCAGACTTTCTACAATCATGCAATGTGGTTCACTCAAATTAAAGAGTGGTTCAACCACTTTAAAGTTGGCCGTATGTCGGCGGACAGTGACCAGCATTCCAGGAGACCATCAACGACCCAAAATGCTGATGTCATTGAAAAAGTGCGAACACTGATCATGGAGGACCACCATTTGACCATCCAGGAAGTTGCTGATGAGGTTGCGATCAGCAGAGGTTCCACAAACACAATTTTAACCAAGGATTTGGGCATGTGAAGAGTGGCGGTAAAATTTGTGCCCAAGCTGCTTTCGCCGGAGCAGCAACAACTCCACCTTGAGGTCATGCAGGACATGTTGGAGTGCACCAACGGGGATCCTGAGTTCCTGAAGAATGTGATCACTGGTGACAAGTCGTGGGTGTATGGATGTGACCTGGACACCAAGGTCCAGGGGTCACAATGGAAGTATCCGAGGCCCAAAAAAGCACAACAAGTTCAGAGAAATGCGAAGGTGAGACTGTATTTTTGATTGCCGGAGTGTTGTGCATCATGAGTACGCACCACTAGGCCAAAGTGTCAATAAGGAGTACTACCAAGAAGTCCTCCACCATCTTTGTGATGCAGTTCAGCACAAGGGACTGGAGCTGTGGGACACACGCAACTGGCAGCTGCATCATGGCAAAGTCCCAGCTCATTCATCACACCTGATCCAGGGTTTCCTGGCCAAGCACGGCATTCCACAGGTTCACCAGGCTCCCTACTCTCCTGACATGGCTCCTTGTGATTTCTGGCTGTTCGCGAGATTGAAGACACCACTAAAAGGCTCCTGTTTTGACAGTCACAAGGACATCATACAGAATGCAACAACACAGCTGCACACCATTCCAAAACAAGCCTTCCAGAATTGCTTCCAGCAATGGAAGGACCACTGGCTTAAGTGTATGGAGTCAAAAGGGCCTACTTTGAAGGGGATTAGGTATTCTAACCACCCAGATACAGCACTTTGTTTTCCCAGCCCAAGGTCGGATATTTTTTGGACAGAGAAGAACATAATCCTTGTTCAGTGCATTTTTTCCAGTAACTTTTAACCAGCCATTCATCATTATTACCTTGACTTCTGACATATGAGCAACTGGACAGGAACCATCAGGATTTGCTGGAATTTGTAATTCCCATTTGCCATATTCCAACTTTTTGTAAGGATGTCCTTCCCTATGCCATCCATCTATAAAATAAAATCACACAGTTCTGCATGCACCTAAAGAAGCACCATACCCTTCTGCCTGTTATCATTAATAATCATATATAACATTTCTGATTACATATTACTTTCCTGGCAAACCAGACTAAGTTGTACTCAATTAAAATTATACATCAACCACTAACCCATATAACTATGTGTTTTAAGTGTTCAGTAATGCAGTGTTGTATCCCTCTACTAATCTCATGTACACAACATTGTACAATGTCAACACTTCTCATAGACACATCCTGTTGCTAACCAAATAATAATCTGCAAATGTTCAGACATAGAAAGAGCAGTTTACTTGTGAAAATAGTTTGTGTGAGAGACACACTGATACTGCTGTTCAAAAAATTTGTGAAATCCATTACTGACACAGGTAGGAGGTGAAACATCCCCCACAGGCAATAAGCCACAATACTAACCACAACATAAATGGAGAAATAGTATCAAATATTTTAAGGTATCTAAACCAACACAGAAACAACACAAAGGTAATCATGGCATAAATATTAAATTGCTTGAAAACATTGTCCTGATAAGCTATCCACTGTAATCCGGTCATGTACACAATTCATCACTCAGCACCAACATCAACTGAGCCTGATGTAATTTATCCTTGGCAGGGCAACACATAGCCACTTACAAGTCCCTATTACTATCCTCACAGATGTCCTCACTCTTATCACTTTACAATCCCCTTGGCTCATTTACCTTACTTTTCTCCTTCTTCATCCCATTCTTCACTTTCCCACCCACTCTACCCTCTGGACAGAAGATAGGCCTTTAAAGGTCAATTTCTTCTTCATTCTTCTCTGTCTTCTTACCCTTCTGGCTTCCCTCTAAATATTGGCTCACTCAAGCCACTGTTCTCACATTCATTGCACCATCATGGCCACCGTCTCAAGTCCCAGTTCCCCTTTTAATTTAAAAAATTACTCATTTGTACTTTCTCCTTCCTGCTATTGGTCTACTCAGGGCTTAATTGCTCGTTCTCCCATCTATATATTCATATCAGCTCTTCCCTTTGCTCACCTTACTCTTTCAGATTGAAAATGAAGTCAGTATGCTCCTCTACATCACTGGCAAAATTCTATCAACTACAAGGTGTTACACCCCAATGTTTTGTGGAACAGTACCTTATGCAAAAAAATCTGACTCAAAAAGAATAGATAATGTATCAAAATGAAACAAAGTTTACACATGGTTACAATTCTAGACAACATGTTAGTGCTGTGGGGACTAAACATTTAATGACTGGAACAATAATCTTGATTGTGATACCCTTAGAAGAACTATGGTGGGAATGATACATTTTATAGAAGGATACTAGCTGCAGCTACCCCAAACTAATAAATTCCATGTTGAATTATACTTAATACAAAGGACCTGCATACTGTTTTCATAGCCAATAATTTTAACAGAACAGCAGTATCCAGTTCGAAAATCTGTTGCATTTAAAGATCCTTGTTAGGGAGAATTTTCATCCATTTCAAACTGTGTTTCTACTGACATATCAGAATTAATAAAGAAAGAAGCTATTAAGTTATATTCATTCAGGGAAGATATCAAGTCAGCAGGTTTTGAATCAGATCTATGATGTAAGACCTGGCAAATACAGACATCTTTTCAATAATAAACCAACACACAACTACAGCATCCACTGTAGTACTACATGCATGGGGTTTCTCTCTCATAAAATGCTGATGAAATTTGAAAGAAATGGTACTCATTCTCATACTTTCCAATAATATCACATAAAACAGTCTTCCATATTCAAACCGTCACAATGCCTTGCACATCATTCTCTTGTTTACATTTGTTCCACAAGGTCACCATTTCAATTCTGAAGAAGCTTGAATGACAATAACAACTTTATTTATTTATATTTAATTTTAAGAATATTCAAATTATTTCACAGAGTGTCTACCATTTAAACAAAAAAAAATAGAACAAAACATGGATGGTATCAGCATATAATGAGAATAAATGAAGACAAACTTCCCAACCACATTCTACAATACAAACCATCTGGAAGGTGAGAAGAAGACAAACACAGATGAAAATGAAAGACTGGTTTCACAACTCATGACCCCGAAGTAAAAACATGTCTGAGAAACCTAAATTACAGTGAATGAGAAGACAACTACTATCCCTATATCCACTCTACCAATATCCCTAGCAGTATGTGCCAGGGTTGCCCACTCACACTCAATTTACTTTGAGTTTCAGCATTCTGAAACTACCACACATGATAATCCATTCACTGACAAAATGGAAAAAGAAATGTGATCCTGGCCTGAAAATGAACAGATCAAAATATTCCACACTTGTCAGATAAGGCACTAAATAATCAATTTTTATGTAGCGCAAAGCAACTGAATAAACTGGGTGGGGAAAATCAAATGAGAGGTCTTACTGAAGCTAGAAGGAACATACTGAATTCTCCGGTCAGATACACTTGTACAGCACCAGGAGCCCACTCTCTGGCTGTCACTGAGTTGTCTGAATTCATATGGATCCCAAAGTACTTGTAGCCTTCGGTGAAGTTATCCAGTCCACCTTCATATTCCTTCACCTTGCCCACATAATCTTGGAAACAGGCATACCTGTACAAACAAAAAAAAAACACTACATATTGTTATATTCATGATCATGAAACATTGAGAGCAATTTAAACCAAACAGGTTGGTCTAGAGGTAACGCTCTAGACCTGTATTTGAAAGGCAACTGGTTCAAATCTCAGCTAGGATACAGGTTATCCTGATTGAAGTTCTCTGTTGATTTTCTCAGCTCCTCCAAGAAAATGACAAGATAGTACCTCAAACAGGCCATGACGGTTTACTTCCAAATACTTTCCAATTCATCAGTCATCCTAACAATATACAGTCTCAATACTGACATGGTCATTAAATAAGCCACCAAAAAAAAGAGTAATTTGGAAAAAAAATTAAGTGCACTAATCTGAAAGACATAAGTGCAAAGACAATCAGTTCCAGAGTTAGGCAAGAAGCTATCCCATTCTCCAAAGCGAGCTGCTCTACAAACGAACTTCAGAATAGGAAAACCTCAGAGATGGACAAATGAAAAAATGTTCTGAAAAAAAGGTGCACTCTTACATGCAAGCCTACTTACTTTCCTCTAAAATGGGCAACCACATTGGCTGCAAGTACAAATAAGACATATTTTACAGGATCTGAGGTTCTCATATCAGTGGTTATGAAGAGTTATATCTTTTGGGATATAACAACCACACAGTCTGCTGAAAGTCATCTGATGCTTTGGAAGAACACATCACCTACATCTTCAGGGTCAAAGAAGAAGCCAAGCAAGAAAATAGCATCAAGCAGGCAGTGAGTGTCCTGCTTAGTATCTGCTTCATTCTGATTTCTTACCTGACTTCATTTTTAACACTGAAGATGGAGGTGACATGATCCTTTGAAATGTTGGTTGATTTTCAATGGACTAGACATACTCATACAGGTCTTCAAGACGCATTTCCTTCACGGTGAGAACATTCAGTCAAAAAGAAAGTCCCATGGTAAATAGTTAATGAGTTGTCTGGAAACAAATGATCACATAATTTCTGTGATTTGATACTGTATATACCATTTTCACTTATGAATCTCATTTAAAGCACTAGTGAAGAGCAGAAATTGGTTCAGAAACGTTCCACTGGTGTGAGTAACAGTAAGTAAAGTGCCAGTAAGATGAAACTTTATATGGGAACTGTACAATATATGCCTAAATTACAACTGTGTCCATTTCAATGCAAACTGTGATTGTACTTAAAGCACAAATACTTCTTTATATCTAACAAGCAGTACTGCCTATTCTTCATCCAAGACATGGTTTATTTTCTTGCAAATATAATATAATAGTAGCTATATCATACTATACAGGATATATGTCATGAAATTTCCATCACGCTAAAGAACGTTTTAATTACATAATAAGCAAATATAATAAACAGTTCACTGTACTGATTGAAGGGCTGGCCATTCTTAGTCTCTCCAGGAAAATATCAGAAGAGTACCTCAAAGTAAGCATTGATTAATTTCCCTTACATCCTATCCAATTCATCATCATCTAACCAAATCTCCTGTGATGCAATATAACCTAACAAACTGTATGACCATCAATGTACAGCACCACTTCTATGCAGCCATCTGACTGGAATTTAAAATGGCTCTGGTAAATTAAATGATGGCTGGTAGAGCATGAAGGTTCTTCTCAAGGCTTAGTGTGATGCCAACAGTGAACATATGAGGTAATGGACCAGCAACATGGATACTTTCCAAAATAACTCAGAAGTTAATTCAAGAAATTTCACTTTAAATACACTCACTCACTCACTCACACAGCTAAGCCTTTCCTAAGAAGCCACCAATTGTGAAGCTACTCAAGAACTTCTCAGCATTTTATGGAACCCGAAGGTTCATTACCATGTTCACAAGAACCCTCCACTGGTCCCTACCCTGAGCCAGATCACTCCAGTCCATACCATCCCATCCTGTCTCTCCAAGATCCATTTTAATACTGTCCACCCACCTACGCCATGGTCTTCCCAGTGGTCTCTTTCCTTCTGGCTTTCCCACCAATATCCTATTTGCAGTCCTCTTCCCCACCATTCATGCTACATGCCCTGTCCATCTCATCCTCTTTGACTTGATCATTCTAATTATACTTGAAGAAGAGTATAAGTTATGAAGCTCCTCATTATGCAGTTCTCTCCAACCTTCCATCACTTCATCTCTCTTTGGTCCAAATATTCCACTCCACCCATTAAGCTGAGATAATTCATAAACTTGCATTAAAGCTGTGCTTTCTAAAAAACTAACTGAACTTAGAGTATGTGGAGATTTATTCTATACTAAATGCATCTGCTGACTTCTCAGACAGCCATTACCAGTGATACAGCAATATTCTCAGGATTGTTTAAACATCTGAATAAGAAGTCACCAGATAACACTCATGAAGAAATTCTGTACTAGTTAGATGTCTTACTTTTTTCATGTTATATTTCCTTTCAGAAAAGAATCTCGACATCTTAAGCTTTGGAAAGTCGGGTTTTCACAAGAGTGTCTATGATTATTCTTCATAAATTATACCTCCGTCCACAATGCAACTTATTTATCTTCTATTTTCTATGACGATTACTATTTACTGGGATATGGGATATGACACCATGTGGTCTGGCACATCATTACCAATGTTTGAGAGGAACATGCTGTCCGTTTTCACAGTGGAGGTTGCAACCCTAAAGTTGCTCCAAAATGTCTGTAATAATCTACCAGCCTACATTGCATTAAATCTCGGATGTCAATAATATTGTAAAATAGATCACAACAACTGGAAGTTGCATTTCATAGTTCAACATTCGTATTCCTCCCGAACAGTATCCTACAATTATCCTTTACCAGTTTGAATGCTCTTCCTTATCCATGATATTATAAAACTCTTACACGACCCCACTCAATTTAATTTAAAGATATCGTTTTTTTAAACTTACCGTCGTCGGAACTCTCTTTCGTATGGCCTTAAATACGGATCACGATCTAAAAGCTCCTTCAATTCTGGAACTTCTACTTGCATAGGATCCAGTGCCGAAAGTTTGCCTCCCATTTTCAAACGTCTTTCACATGCATTACAGCCCTCGACCTTCTAGTTCTAGTGCGTTCTAGTGGTCATATACGCACAAAGTATACGGTCATGTGCGGTCATGTGAGGTTAACGAGAACGGATTACTACACATACGACACAGATGAAACATTTCAGATGTCGCCGATGTGTAACATGAACACATGAGAGAAGAAAAAATGTAAATCATGTAGCCTCTCAAACACTCTCAAAGTACAGGCGGTATAGATGGTATAGATCGTACATATAGTGCTCTTTGACCTGGCCTTTGGGTTGTGCGTGAAGATAAGAATGACAAGTAGCATGGCAATATGTGTTTCACCTATCGTCATTAAGCACTAGGTGAACTTTCACGGATACGAACGAGCGGTTGAGGGTGATGGCATTATTATAATCGATCAAATTAGCATGGTATCCTTCTGCGGCAGCTACAGCTTAGCGCTGCGGACCGACCTCGAACCTCGAACATCCACTAGCCCACTTAGGTAGGGAGAGAAACAAAGAGGGGGAAACATGTGACACGTACGTCAGCAAAGAGCATACGCAGAAAGAAGGGAACACTCATCGGGGGGGTGAGGGGGGGGGGTCAAAGATCCTATTCCACAGAACCGTGTTCCCCTCGCCATAGTAACAAAAAAGAAATAAAAATCCATATGATGGGAAACTCGGGTAGTTCGGCTCTAAATTCGGACACAATAACTCCTAGGGGCTTGCTTCTTCTTGCAACAAACAGCGGGATCCACCAGAAAACACACTGTCCGTTTCTGCCCACTGCTGTGCAACAATCACCAGGAGGGAGACTCCTCAGGAATGCCATCTTCTCGGAGAGCAGTTGAATCTATGAGTCTAAATCTACGGCATCACCAACACTTTCACTCCCATCACGCGCCCCGCGAATGCAGGAGAAGACACACAACCTTCAGGCCGTGAACCAATGGCCCCTACCGAGTCGCTAAAGTCCAGAGTTGCTACAGATGAGATGAAGTACCCTTTTACCCTCTTGGGCCCTGGGGATACGGAGGCAATAGTAGGCACGGTTGTAGAAACTCCGCATCGTCGGCAAGGCAATAAGGAAGGGACAAAGGAACAAAATAATCAGTACACAAAAATAAAAAAAAGAACCGCATTGCACAGTCTCCAGGGGAGAAGATTACAGAAAATTATACGGTAGTGCAAAATATGAGTAACAAGGGCCAGTGCCCTAATCACCAGTGAAATACCTTTTCAGTTGAGAAATGTGAGCTTTTCTGACTAACACGCCAGTATCGGGATTTGCCAATTGTACAGTGACCTTCGTCAGAAATTTGGCAATAACCAATGGGTTAGACCACTTATTTTCTACCTTAGCGGAACACTTTAAGACTTTCGATCTCTGAGGGTCGAGTTTCACAAGGACAAAATCTCCTACCTTGAGCACTACCTCGCTCCTCAGTACATTATATCTCCTGGCAAGCCTATCTCTGACCTTTTCAAATTAGCCAAGGCCCATTCCCAAAATACATTAATACCCTGGCACCGGAGAATTTTCAAACATGAGAAACGTATATTTCCAGGAAATAATGAAGGTTAATCTGTAGCGAGACAGCCTCTCTAATCACACAGCTCTGCCCAGCAGCCATGCGAGTAGTCCGGTTCGCCATTTCTACCAAACAAGGCAAACCTAGGCTCTGGATCTGTTGAAATACAGCTCGTCTAACAAAGGAAAATGACGAACCCGAAGCCAAGATGGCTGGCTTACAACAATCTTTCATGGGTAACACAACCCAAGGATTATAACCAGCTACCCTTACAGGAGAGATTCGACACCGAGGACGTTTACTCTCTGGCGCTTGGACCTCGGCAACATCATTCACTGCTGAGCGCCTCCTTTGTTTCCCTGGTTCCTCGCAACAGAGGTCCTAAAGGAAGGACAATCCTTCCTAACATGTCCTATTCCAGAATATTTCCATCATCTCACAGCCCAACTAACAGACGGAGAGGTCCCCCCAACTGCCATACTAACAGTACGCGGGACACACCTCCCCTGCAGAGAATCTCTGATAGGAGCATGTTGTTTAGAAAGTTCTCTCTGATTGTCAATAGCCCGACTTTCGGCTACTTGACTCACAAGCAAATACAATTCTTTAATAGACTTTGGTTCGGAAACAAACACCAAACAAGAACGTACATGAGGATGAATATTCTGAATCATACGGCAGACCAGTACAGACTCAGGGGCTTGATACTCAAGGATATTAGCGACAGTTACTACAGACATGACGAACAGTGATAGTTCTTCAGTAGCAGCTTGGAAATGATCCAAAATATATCTCAACAAGAACCCTTCTTGAATACGAGGCGGAAGGAAGGTTGACAGGATTTCGGAGCAAACTAACCCCCACCTAGAGGAAGCACACAAATGGACACTAATAATTTACATTACCCTTCTGGTCGTCCTAGCGACCAAGAGTGCCAGAAATTTGGCATCTGTTACAAGATTCAATTCATAAACCTCCCTTGCTTGGACAAGGAATTTGAACACACTCTCTGGTTCCGTATTGGACAAACTGGTATATTCCTCACCAAATCAGTGACCACTTTGCCTCTAAACTTTTTCTGAGAATAGTTTACATGAGCATGAATGTCACTGAAATTTAACATCACTAGCTCCGGCAACGCCCATGCCCACTTCAGACCTATCTGTACTCTGAGGGGGTAGGTAGGTCTCAACTTATCTCCAATTCTCCTTCAATTTCTTCTGCAACTCGTCCAACATCCCCTGTACAGAGACACCCAACTCTATCGCCAATTTTTCGGCATCTTCCCTCGGGAGACTATAAATCCAAGCTAGTGGCATGTCGATAGCATGTAACACCACAAACAATATTAAAATTAGTTCACAGTAATCCTACCTACACTCTACAAGCAAGCTAAATGCAACAAACCCACAACCGGGTACACATGGTTGCATTTAACTAACCATGCTCTGCTACCATTTCTGTGAGCCGCCGTCCTCATAGGTTACGTAAGGAAGCGAGAGGAGGGGAGCCACAGGAATAGCTTGCTCATGGACGTGGAGTTACAGGCTTCCCTAAGTTGATGCAGGGATCTCAAGAAAAGATTCCTTGGGATCAGCTGGTTAATGGGGGAACATAAATCCAGACAGGCATCAGGCAATTCATAACTACTCAGACTATGTCAGAATGACATCATCAGTAATTTTGGTCATTTTGTATATGGAGTGGACAGTCCACTGAATGTTTTAGGGCTAATGAAATGTAAGGAAAAATAAGTTCTGACTGTGAAGTGATTGGTTTTGCAACAATAGAGTCATATTAAAGACCGAACATTAATGCAAGCTCATAAAACGATGTGCAGAGGGAAAGAAGCAGTGAAATTCTTGTGGGAAGGACTTTTATTACACTTAACCAACATTTTCATTAACTGCGGGTTGTAGAAAATTACATCAAGAAACTGTTCATCACCTTATAATACTTGCTAGTGGGGTGGGACTAAGTCCCTTGTACTGTGGCCACTTCTGGCCTATTGTACCAGCCCCAGATGATAGGTGAGGGTGATTGTGGAGCAATTAGTGGAATGAAGATTGGCAGGGGAAACTGAAGTACTTGGAGAAAACCTGCTCCAGTGCCATTTTGTCCACCACAAATTCCATTTGACCAGACCCAGGATCAAACTTGGGCCACCCTGATGGGAAGCCAGTGACTAACCGCTTGAGCTATGGCGCGGCCCTCTCATCACTGTAAGGAGCAAGACTTTGAAACCTGTGCAATACAGCTAGTAACTAAAACATCTCACCTAATTATATTAAGCTTGTACAGAGCCCCTTCAGGAGAGGTTAATGACAGACTAGATGCAACTTTAAAATATCTGTACAATCCAAAGTCTGAGTTTATAATCTTATGGAGACATAAACTATTTAAATGAAAGCAGTCAGAAAAAACAAGTAAACTCTTTAATAAGGACATACACTCTGTTACACACAGTGAATTTTGCAACAAGAGTTCAAAATTCCTCAAGCACAGCCATTGATATCTTTATAGATAATGCAAGGTTCATCTCCTATAGTCAATGGCCTCTCTGACCATGATGCTCAATTTCTTACAGTAAATAATATTATTGCGGAAGTAAATTCAACACCTTGAAACAGAGAACCAGAAAAATAAATAGTGAAACCATTGCCCAATTTCAACATCTATTAGAAAATGAAACATGGGAAACTGTTTTCAAAAATAAGGGTACAAATTATAAGTTTAACTCCTTTTTATATATTTTTCTAAATATCTTTGAAGCCAGTTTTCCTATGGAGAATGGAAGTGTAAGTAAAATAAAAAACCACTGGATTACACATGGAATAAAAATATCTTTTAAACAAAAATGTGTCTGTATGTAGACAGCAGGAGCAGTAATAATCCCTACATGAGAGCATACTACATAAGGTATTGCAAAATCCTGCGTAGAGTTATAAAAGAGGCTAAAAGGCAGCATTACTGTAGGCTTATAGCAACATTGAATAATCACATAAAAACAACCTGTAATATAATAAAACATGAAACAGGAAAATCATATTTACCTGAACAGATACCATCTCTATTTATCTCTACTTGAGGACCCAGGAGAAATGGCAGATGCTTTCAATACTTTTTTCTAACAATTACAGAAAATCTAAACTTGCATCAGGAAGAGGGAGATGCCATTTCATTTTTAAGAGAGGCATTTCCTAGAAAATTCCCTGGTATTAAAACCATTCCAACCACTGAAACTGAAATAAAAACAAAAAACTCTTCAGGTTATGATGGAATTATTTATTTATTTCATTGTAAAATTCTGTTGATCCAATCTAGGCTACAAATATGCCTGACGGATATAGAACCAGTCACAGACAAGTAACTAAAATACACATGCTATGAAAATAAGCATAGGTCAGATCAAATAATAAACCTACTTTAATATTAAACATAACATCTTAAAAAATATGGTAAAAAATCATAATACCAAAAGGTAGATGATATAACATATTTATGCCAAAATAAAGCACCTATGATATATAAAACCTTAAAAATTCACATTAAAATTAGTAATTACTATTAAAAAATCCTTCAGTGAAAAAAGAATCCAATAGAAGGT